TCTCTTCAAGTAAGAGGTGAATGTTGTGTCTACCACTAGATGGTGTACTAGTATAGGAAAAGTTGGTAGGAGAAAAGTAAGATGGAGGGAAGGAAGACCTGATTTTACAGTACTGCTGAACATGTTATGAATAAACGGTGTTGAGTTTATTGTCTACTTGAGCTTCTACCTCGTCATAGCTTCCAAACATAACACTAATAGCCAATAAGTTCCTCAGCATGTGAAATTGATTGCCAATCAGCAATGCTTCCTAAGTGGACAGTTTGATTTCACATAAGTTTGATTTGATTGAAGTTATATTGTGTTCCATTTATTTATCTGAGCAGTGTATATTGTATGTTTTCTATAGTATAGCTCTCTATGCAATTTGCAGAATTTATGGCTACCCAAAGTCCCATCCCTTGTCAAAACAAATACCCTCTGTCCATTAGACTTTTCTTTTTTAGGCCTCATTGTGTCAATTATAGGATGCCAGTTAAAGCAAAGTTTGACAAACAGAATTAAACTCTGGCAAACAAAGAAAAATAGGGACTCCATATAATAATGAAGACAACAAGTAACCTGATACATCACCAACATTTTGCATAAGGCTGACTTGTTCTTTTTGATTTTTGGTATTCAAATTTGATTTTTGCAAATGGACTTAAACTCACAGCAAAGCCATGCATGCAAAGATAGTTGCTCCCAATGATTAGAAATGATTAGGACCTAACAGACCAAAACTGAAAATATCAGAGTAATCCTTGCAGTATTTATTTTACATAGTTATGCTATCAAATCTGATGTTTATAATACTGGCCTTGAAACAGTTTCTTACACTGCAACAATCTTGAGATTACTTTTGAAAGACAAAGAATAAGAGGATAATGTATTTGTAGCTCACTAGTAGAATCAAACATAAATGTGGATAATATACCATTTTTTGAATGCATACCTAAGTACTATATTTAAACGAGGCATTTATGTGCAGAAAAAAAATGACTAAACAGCACTCTTAAACTCAAGATTAAACAATAACATGGTAACAAATAATCACATGAGTAAAGAGATAAATATTACAGAGTTTTTGTTTTCATTGAGCTTACTATTAAAGTCAACAATTTCATTCAATTTTAAAACAAACAAGTAAACTTTTTTTCTCTTGATTTCGTCAGTGAGGAAAACGAAAATATTAATCAGATTTGGATCCCAACAAATGTCAACTGAAAAGGAAAAACTACAAAAATATTAAATAACTACAAAGGAAAAACATTTTCCCCACATAGTTATTACACCACTTTATACCTACCATTAAAAGGAGGAGCCTGCCAGCCAATATATCACCAGCTTATGATTTCTTAAAATAACAGAAATTTATATATCTTATCTCTACAGTAAGGAACCATTTTTGTCAACAATTACTGCATCATAGACCATATGTTGTTTTTTTTTTTTATTGTTGTTCTGTTTATTAGGTATTGTAGGTTTCAGCTTTATTTTATTGCAAACAATTTTCTATTTATTGGCTTTCTATGCAATGTGGAGAATTTATGGCTGCCAGAGGTTCTTTCTCTTGTCCGGACAGACATTCTCTGCCCAACTGAGCAGAATTAATGTACTGTTAGTTTAAGCAAAGTTTGACAGACAGAATGGAATGAAACAAATGTTGGGTACAACATTGCACGAAGGAAAGAAGGTTAAGATATCTATTTTTGTTAACTAT